CTCTATCTATCTATCTGTCTATCTATCTATCTATCTATCTATCTATCTATCTATCTATCTATCTATCTATCTATCTATCTATCTATCTATCTATCTTGTATCTATTTCCACCTCACTAACTATCTTCCTCTGACACAATTATCAATATTTTTCCCAACTTAATGTTTCTTTTCCGTCATCTTGCCCACTTCCACCCTCCTCTACTCTCCCCCCACTATCTCCTTATCCCACCTCACTCCCCTCCTTTCTGTCTCCGTCCCTCTTGCCTCCCTCCCTCTCCCTCTTCAACGTTCCACCCATCTCCTCCTTCCCCCCTTCTTACCCTCCCCCCTCCCCCCCACAAACTTACAGATAAAGAACTACACTCGTCATCAGCCTGTTTCTTCTCCACTTCCAGTTGTTTTATCTTCGCCAACAGTCTCGCCTTCTCTGATGTCCACACCTTGACAAGACAAAAAAAAGGAACTCTATCAGACAAAAACAAATAAAACAGCACCAAGACTTGGATGGCTGGTGCTTCTGTAAATAAAGTATATTGATGATGATTTGATTTTTTTAAAAACACCTTACCATTTAAGCCCATATTCTGAAAACTTGAAGCGTTTTCAAATCATATTTTTTGTTCGTCTAATAAAGCTGCTACTTGTTTGCACCCCCAATATAACCGGTGTCTTTAGTACGGAACTAGCATACAAAGGTTGAAAAATATTCTCACAATTATTGTTTCGGTAGCCTAATCATGAACATAGCGAACGGGCACATAGTGAAAGACTCACGCAGTGAAAGACTTACACGGTAAAAGACTCATAAAACAAAACATTCACATACTGAAAGACTCACATAGCGAAATATTCACATAAAGAGTCGAATAGGGAGAGACTCCCACAATGAAAGACTCATACAGTGAAGCACACACATGACAGATATACTTTCAAATATATTATGTTATCGTATACCCGTATGTTCTTTTTTATTTTAAAAAGTTGCACTGCGAAATCCGTATAAAACATAAAAATTTCAACGAGACGATCATTTCATCATCTGTGTGCTACGCTGTATTTATAAAGGTATGAGAGGCATCGAGGTGACATCAGTTCTCGTCAAAATAAAGACATCTAAGAAAGCGACGTTATCCGACCGTTCAGCTATCTTTATCGACTTTTATTCGGGCTCAACACCTTTTACCTCGTATGCCTATTCAAAAACATTAAAGTGAGAATTGGGTGATAAGGCAAATCTTCGACAAAAAGCGTATTCCAGCGTTCCATAAATCTTAACTTATAGAGAAAAAAAAAGTTCATTGTAGGCTACTTTTTAGTTTGATTTTAGGTTTTTGGTAGTTCTATCTTCGTGAGTGGTTGGCGGGTGCTCTGCTGTGGTTTGCGCCTTCTTTCCTATTAAACAACGATCGTCTTTATCTCTCCTCCTTTTTTATGTTTGTTACTCTCTTGTAACACCTCTAATCTATGACCTTATTGTGTTGCAAGTGCCGTAAAACTCTTCATCATCATCATCATGCGCTGCAGCAATAGTGTCTGTTGTTCTTGCTGCTCCTAGCCATGTTGTCATCTTGTCCAGTATCTTTTCCCTCTGTCTGCCTCTGCCTCTCTTTCCATCAAACTTGCCTGTTGTTACAATATTCTCAAATACTCTTACTAAGACCCCCAATAACCGTCAACACTTTCAACCCCACAACGTAAAGGGACAGTGAGCTGATCTCGCAGAGACGATCTTTGTGTTGACAAAACTT